AGACAATTTCAGTGTAACAGTAAGATCGTAGTAAGTAACATTACTGAACGTGTTTAAAAATGTGTGTAAACAATATGATAGTAGTGGGATGAGTGACCCTAGACAGTAGATCTAGTACATAAAATAAAATTTACAACCTACTTTTTGTTATCCTGGAACAGTCTTTTGTGTTCATTTCATGTCTCATGTATGTTGTAGTTTACCTTGCTCTTTCATTACAGTTTACCATTATTTATTTCAGCATATTTCAAAACTTGTAATTTATCACAATAAAAATAGCGGAGGTATTATGGGGGTACTCTCCATAATTCAAATGCTCTGCCGATGTTGATCCGTGTTTTCGTCGAAGTCGATCCGATTCACGTTTGGCCTGACGAGCTTCAGCAGATACATTTTTGTTTAGTTTTGTATATTTATGTGGAGTTTGTATTGAGTCTGTGTTGTGCTGGAGGCAGGAGTTTTCTGGTGTTATCAGACTCCATGTCATCAGCTGCAGTGCCGTCGCATAGACTGTATATAAAAAGGAGAGAAGCTCGGGAGCACGCTTGCACGTCAAATCCGATGGATTTTCTAGAAAATTTGACCTAGAGACTTCACAAAGGAATAAGAAAATTGGCCTTCAGAGATAATAGCAAAATCCAACAAGTGGATCATTGTAATATGTGATTACAACCCCTTCACACACTGGCAATAAAAAAAAACATTCATTTTAGATGAAAAGTTACATATAGCACCTTTAATTTGAATCATGCTTTATTAACAATTAAATTGATCAAATGGTTTTCCTAGGTTTTGACTTGCAGTGCAGGGTTTCGGGTTGTCTGGTAAATGCAAATACCAATTCTTTGCTCTTGTGGCCCTTTTCAATGCCAAATCAAATATTATCAGAACTAGGCTTTTTTTTTTTTTTTTTTTTTTTTTTGCATACTCTATTTTCTGCCCCATTAATTCTGTCCAAATTGGCCCCTACCAAACATAGCACCTACGCTTCCCCAGAAATGCGCCATCAGTTTCAATTTCATTTAGCATGGGAGCCAATGCAACATTTGAGGACATTCAGGGGAGCTAATAATCTTGAGGAACTGGCAGGTTATGCATATTCATGGTTCTGTGCTAGTAAAGTTTGCTAGCAAGTTCTCTCTTTTGCAAAATTCAATTTATATATGCAATACCTAGCCAAACACAGCAATTTTTACTAATATGTTATATACAATATATTAAAATATTTATGAAGCAAGTCATTGATTAAAAATTGTCTGATTCACAGAAAATAACTGAATTTAGCTAATTAACCGAAAACTCGAACACAGTTTTGCAATTCATGGCCATCTTTAAGAAATGTCATGTATTATGCAAGCCCTTCTGGAAGGCCTTTTTTCAGGCTTATTTGAAAAACAGTAGCTTAAGGCTTGTCCACAAGTGTGACATTGCTATTATTATTTAATGTATGCATGTTAGCTGTTAACCTAATGCTAAATGTGCTGGTTGCTGGTTGTTGACCCTGCCTCCCTTTGCTTGCCGGTGTATCTGCAGTCGTATCACAGAATGCTCCCTCCTGTAAGTTAAGTTAATGCTTTGAAGCTTGATATATAATTTTAAGTTAAAATTTATAAAGACAAACTGCATTTTATTGTATATGTCCTGAATGACACTATACCTTCAGCTCTTCTAGGTGGCCAGCAGAGGTCTCCCTAATTCTTATGCAGGACTTAAAGGGACACGTCACCCATTTGCATTAAGCTTTGTGTCTTTAGGATCACAGTCTTATTTTTGAATGGTCATGGTTTATTCCCTTATTTTCCCCTGAGATGGGAGAAATAAGGATTTAAGTGTTCCACCTCCCGCTTTTTATGACGTAAAAATCCGTCCTCGCGCCGTCCTCTCACGTCCCTCGGCCTCGCCCTGCTCGCCACAGCCAACTAACTAGAAATTTTCTCTGATGTTTGCGCTGTTCTGGATTAGTGGGAGTGCAATGTAGTGCATTGTGGGAGTTGTTGTCCCTAAAGTTATTTTCTGTCTTTTCTCAGTCCAGAGGGCACCAAATTCAATTTTTTTTTACATTTCGACTACATATATATGACCCACTTTCAATAAAGATTAATGTCGAATTGGGTGAAATGCTCCTTTAAATGTATTTCAATGTCCCTGTGTCATATGTCCACTACCTGATTTGTTATATTTTCTTATATTGTTTAGATTTTTTTTTGCTTTTTAAGGTTGTGTTGTTGTGCTTTAATCTTCTGGCATTTCTGTTACTGTGCAGAAATGCTGTGAGTTTGCATCATTGCTATTATGCTTGTGGTATGAAACAGGCCTTGCAGTTCATATAGAAATTTTAGAGAGTAGGACACAGATAGGACTTGTGTAGAACTTGCCCATATGAGAGAGTTTGCTTTACACAGATAAATCATTTTATAAATTCCGAGTTAGACTGTTGAGTTTTTTGCTAGAAATTGTCCTGATCTTCTCTGAAGTAAACCCTTTTAGTTACATGTTTCAAGAACATTCCATAGGAGGTCTCCAAGAGGAGCGTTGCTCTTTGAATGAAACAAGGCTGTATATATGGTTAATTATAATGAGGAAGAGGAGTTTTGTAGCAATTGTAGAGCTCCATCAGGTTAAATTGAGTGCGGTTCCATACTGAGAAGCACCATGAAAACCCTAGTTCTCAAACATCGGGTAATAAACAAAACCAAGGATATTTACTCTAAATTCACTACCTGTTTCATTCAAATGAATTTGTATCCTCACTACCAGCTGCATCGTAAAGCCCTAAGATATGGAGAAAGTGTAAAAGCTCAAACAGTAGAGCATGTTACTAGCATGAACTAATAAAATGTATGTAATACCTTGAGAGCAATGTGCGTACTACTATGTTTCAATTGTGGTTTACACATAACTCCAGATATCAGCCTGAGCTGCTTGAGTGGAGCTGGTAGTGTACCAAGTGTGTTCATTTTGTAGCGTAGTCTGATGATTCACTGTCTGTGAATTATTTATCAATGTCTAAACGATCTGGTGCTGCTAATTTTTGCTCGAGCTCGTTGATTCTGCATCTGGTTTGCAGCTTTCAGGATGAAGTAGGCAGATGCCTGTTGAATTTTCATGAGTCGCCTCCTGAGCCAAGGCTGAGCTGCCTCGCTCTCTACTATTATGCAGATCTGAGCACCTTAGGGACTCCCGGGGTATGCAGAGAGCTTTTGCCATTTCTCCGCCAACCCTTGATAAAAAAAAAAAAAGCAACACTCTCCCCGACCTGCACGCTCCATAAACCGTGTGTTAGCCGTGAGCAATGCCGAACGTGGCTGGGGTGGAATTCCCAGAAGTCCTAGCCTCAGGAGGACGGAGCAGAGGGAGAGGATAAGGGTTGGGAAAGATGAGAGGAGTCAATCCTTGTTACATGTCTGCCAATAAAAAATTACCACCTTTTTATTGTTGCAGAGCCTTCATCTGTCAAAAAACGATGGCCCTTGCAAAGCCGAGCAGAGAATTGCTTTTGAAAATTGCTTTTCCCTGCAGCAGGCCTCTGGAGGGAATACCGAGAAGAAGCCGAGCAAATGACAATGACGATGCACTGCGTTTTAGTGGTCATCTTGGATTCCAGAAGGCAAAGAGTGCGTTCAAAAGACCATTTTCTACATCATCCCTTTCCAATCATGAGTATTCTATGCATTCAGGGGATGAATGAAAATGTGTCTGCAGTGCCATTTTTAGCCTGGCTATTTCAGTGTGCAGCGAAGAAGCATAACATTGGCATATTGGTTCTTCTTTGCGTGGTCCATGTGGTCGCCACAACCCGAGAACCAATTACGCTGTAAAAGAAGGTCTTATCGAGCCCATTAGTGTGGGTAGTCAAATCTGGGGCGACTGCCAGGAACGCTGATCGTAAATTCGCTTCCTTTTCATAGACGTCTGGAGACCAAATCTTCTCAGTTATCTTTGATTGGCAGTGGGAAGATTAGTTGGTTTGTTTGAGGGGGCTTCGGGGTATTATTTGAATTGGTACATGCATTTTATTGTTCGTCCACATCGTGTGGGTGAATTATTTGACGTAAACAGACAAACAAGTGAAGGGAAGTTTATATGTAGGTCTTCTTGCTTCTAGTAATTGCCTGTTGTCTCTTGGGTGCGCTGTCTGGAGAACTGTCTGAAATTCCCACTTTATTTGCTGACAGTTGTGTAGGACAGCAGTAATGGAGAGAGTTCTGAATACCATCATTAGTCCCTGGCTGGAGAAACAAGATCTTCGTGCTGGGAACAGGGACAAAATGCACACAGAGGAAAGAAGTACTGCTGGGTAGAGAGATGAGTGAGTCAAAGAATGAGGGTGGAAAAGAAAGAAAAACCAAGAAATTGGAAAAAAATATAGGCTAGGTTAGTTCACCAAAAAAATTCCTGCCAGTAATTACTCACCCCCATGTTGTTCAAACCCCATAAGACTTTCGTTCATCTTCGGAAACACAAATTATATTAATATTATTACATATTATATTATATATCACTAGCTCCAATGCTCATGTGATTGTGAGGAGGTGTTAGCCCTACCATGAGTCTTAAACCATCTGACCAACCACAGACCGCTGTGCTTATAATGTGTTTTGAGGCAATTTGATCTGTCTTTGTTGAAAGAAGGGCAGGAATAATATAATATATAATATTATATATATATATATATATATATATTGCCAGCACACAAAATAAAATATATATTTAAATAAGAATTTAAAATATAAACATAAACTAATGTGAGCCATAATCATCCAAATTAAGGCTTGAAATATCTCACTTTGCATGTAATGAGTCAATATAATAAATTAGTTTCACCTTTTAAGTTGAATTACTGAAATAAATTAACTTTTGCACCATATTCTAATTTTTCGAGTTTCACCTGTAATTTTCAAATAGAATTTAAATGGTATAATATTTCACAATAGTACTGTTTCTTTGCTGGTGCAGTATTCAGCACAATCTGATGTAATCTGTCTTTCTTTGTGTTTCAGACTCAAGCAGATCAGTGCCGCTATGTAGTGGGCAGTATACTATGTGAAAATGAAGAGAAACCCGATGAAGAGCTACAGAATCTGTATGAGAAATACGGCTACAAAGTCATTTCCTTCCCAGAAGTCACCTGTGCCGTAACTTCCTCGTTTCCGAACAGATGCACTCTGTCCCCCGTCTGTGGCGGTTATAGAGTCTACCCTGAACTACAACAGTATATAAAGGTATCATTATCTATCTATCATCCCTTCAGCTATGGCAAAATACACCACTCAATTGCAATATACTGTACGTTACCTGGCTGAACTGTAAATGGCTCTATTCATTGTAATTTCCATAGTGCTTTACACGCCTCGCATCACTAGTGGCCAATATCAGGCACATCTAATGGAGGACAGCATGTGAAATGTATAGCGAGGAATATAGTAAATGGGAAGAAACGGCCTTAGTAACTTCTGAATGGACGGATAACTGGATTGAGAGATGGAAAGAGGCTGTTAATGAGGTCAGTTTGTGCTGGTTGGTGTCTAACAGCGTGAGTTCAGTGCGGTTCAGTGCGGTGAGATAATGTGATAGATGATGTGCTACTTACCATTTGTAAACCATAATGACATGTGAAACTTGAGGTGTTAATTGTATAGGTGCCACTTTTCTAGTGCTAATGCTTTTTTTGTACTCGATATGTACACTAGCAAACAGATAGCTATGCCTTGGCAACCACCTACAACATATTTGCATTGAGGTGGCTGTGTATATTGGGTAACCAACATGGAATGGACAACAAAAATTGGTACCCTAGTGGCTCGCAATATTGTCATGACAATCTGTTCTAGTTGAAGTCCTGGCGCAGGGGAGTCTCATACAGTTAAAAAGCGGTCTGTACCAGATGCTCATTTATTTCACTACATAAAAAATAATTTAGTCTACTAGCTATCCTTGAATACAAGGAATTTCTGTAGTTGATGCATCAGCATGGCTCCAGACTGACTATAATAAACTCAAAATAAACCAAATAAATATTTGCAACAATAATTTAAAATGTAGTTGCTGTCTGGAGAACTTTGTGTCCATATTCGTTTTCGTCAGATTCAATTTGCTAACTGGCCAGCAACTTTGAGGTTGTTTTGTCAATCTTTTCGACTGAGTGTCTCATTAAGACTGGTTAAAGCTGCAGTCCGCAGTATAATAAAAATTATATATATATATATATATATATATATATACATTAGGGCTGTCAAACGATTAATTGCGATTAATCACATCCAAAATAAAAGTTTGTGTTTACATAATATTTGTGGGTGCACTGTGTATAATTTTATTATATATATATATATATATATATATAAATACACACACATGCTTGTATATATTTAAGAAATATTTTCATGCATATACTGTATATAGATTTATATATAATTTATATTATATAAAATATAAGTATTTTATATATAAATAACATTTTTTTCTTAAATATACAAGCATGTGTGTGTATTTATATATATATACAAAATAATTATACACAGTGCACCCATATATATTATGTAAACACAAACTTTTATTTTGGATGCGATTAATTGAGATTAATCGTTTGACAGCCCTAATATATATATACTGTATATATATATATATATATATATATATATATATATATAAATTATGCAGATCGTGGTCTCATAAACCTATTTTTGAAAAGGGATTGACTATAAATTCAATTTTGCTATCGGTCTCAGTCCATTTTCTTGAAAATGGCTAAAACTATGATGTAACCAGTTTCACTTGTTGTTCCTTTCTCACACTTTATCTTTTGCTTACCTTCCTTCTTTAACTCACACACACACACCAAACCTTTTCTGACTTGGCTTGTCTGACAGCTTATTAAGAGTAGTGCAATAGTTACATGAGCAGTGCAGTGTAGGAGTCAGCACAAGATGTACTGTATGTTGCATTATGGGACTGTGTTGTATGAGTTTGTTACTTGATGTATGTGGAGTGACACCGTGTACAAAGACTGGACTGGGCAGATGAATAATGGAGAGACATTCACAAATGTATGTGTGTATGTAGGCAGAGATATGTCCTTTACAATGATTTATTAAATAGGGTCTGGCAGAAGTTCAGACTGGCACTTCCTTTGTTATGGAACTCAAGTAGGACTTCCTGTGAAGATCCCTGTACAACCACCACTACCACATAGCCCATGCACCACACTTCACAAACCAGATATTACGAGTCACCAAGGAGTCGGATGCACACATGTGTCTAAAGCATTTGCTCATCTGTACTACGTTGCGATTGGATTATTTTATTCAATTATGTCCACATATTTTATCTATACTAAAAGCATAGTTAATGCTTTGCAACTTTTTACTTTTTCGTCATTTTTTTGTCAAGAGTATTTTTAATTACAATTGTTATCGGTTATATAATCACGTGTTTCATTTTCTAAATGTTTTTGTCAGTAATTTCGGGACAAATTGAGCACTTTTAATATACCTACATACTATATACATTCACTAATTCATTTTAGTACATTAAAACTGTAACATATGCTCACCTTTAAACATTTTTGGGTGATATACAAATAAATAAAAATAGAAAAAACTGATTCAGTTTGTACTGATTCGCTCATGTAAATGAACTAAACTAGAGGTCAGTGCTGGTTGGATTTTTAAAAATACGGCTCCTCAGACGGTCTATGGGGATTTTTCTGTCCCGGTCCAATTGAATTCTGTCTTGTTCTGGCTTTTAAAAATCTGTTACAAAAACTAAATTGTACAAATAACATTCTGTACCTTAAAAACATTAAAAAACATAACTTTTATTTTTCGAGAACTATATTTTGCTGCAGTCCTACAAGTCATCACACAAGATTTTGCACATCAGTATCTTCCCGCCCACACCTGTGCTCAGCAATCAAATCTACTATGTTTAAATCAGAGATAACCAATTAAAAATCACTGCAATACTCTCAATGTTTCTTATTTTATACCATGAGGTCACTGTGAGTATTCAATGCATCACCCAGCCCAGTTCCTGTGGAGTGGACATGTGTTGGGAATGGCTTCTGTTGGTTCTCTGCCAAACGTGGCATTCGGCTCGTGGGTTGTGCGGTCTGTTATGGCACGGGTTAAACACCGAACTCTCTCTCTGCCAACCCTAGATATCCCTTTTATCTTCTCCATTGACAAATACTTTTTTTTTTCTCCTCTCCCGCACCTCTCCATCTTTGTATTGGTCTCTCAGTTGTCTTTTTTTGTATCGTTCTTCATTGGGCAGATATATCACTTGTCCACCCTCTATCGATAGCAGACACGGACACATTCTTCTCAATCTGCTGAGAGGCTGAGCCTTTGCTGATGATGATAAACACACACACACACACACACACACACACACATGGACCGGACCATCTGTTAGACAGCGAGAGGGCAGAATCTCCTGCTCCCACGCAGGAGTTCACTCCTAAGAAAAAGCGTACACAGAGTATGTGGGCAGTCCCATTACTCCGTAACAGAGATTTCAAGCTGTTAGTGTGTGTTCGGGTGTGTGTTGATCCAGCAGACGGCTGGCTGTCAAAGGATTGACTAAGCCCATTAAAAGAGGTAATTCTTAAGAAGTATAAAGAAATGGCGAGATTGACTACATTAGAGGGATTTGCCTGAACTCCTAGAGTTCTCCCAAAATGCACTTTTGTCTCAGTGCTAGCCTAGGGTCTTGTTCAAACTCGAAATACAAAGTTTTAATCCAATTAACAGCAACCCACTAATCCACTCAACTTCATGTTTAAAAAAGTAGTCTTATGTACTCATTGGTCAAACTGATTAACGTTTGCTGCCTAAAGTTTGAGATATTTTGTCGCAGTCTTTATAGCTCAAAAACATGCTAAGCTCTTCCAATCGTATCTGACATGAATGCATTATTTAGAACTAAATGTGTTATTTCTAAGGTTGTCTACATCATCCTTTAGGCTGTAGAAATGCTTTGGTGGATGAACTTCTAGTTGTGCATCATAGATGTAATACAGCACAACTGCCCACTTTTTCAGCGATCTTGGTTATTTTCTCATTCATTTTCTCCATAGGCATTATGAAAAATGATCCAGTCATTTTAAGTTTTAAGTAGTAAACCAAAACAACCAACTCTGAGATGAATCACAATACTCTAAACGTGGATTTGAAATCGAAAAGATCTTGAAAAACGTTTTTTTAAGACAAGACAGTTTTTATGAGGCAGTGAACTGCTCGATTCAAATGATATAATCTAATTAAAAACTATTGACCAAGTCATTAATTGCCAAATATAAAATTATATACAAATATATATATGATCATTCGTTTTTTTTTGATGCAATTCTTGTTTCCATGGTAACAACAGTGACTTCTCTGCTGGGCGAATCTCTCTTCAAGATTATGGGGAGAGGGTCTTCCCAGGGATTTTGGAAAAGCTCATTGTGGGTATCTTGAAAAGTTTATACTATAACGTTAAAAAATGACTTCTCTATTGAGAAAATGTATCTGCTGTAACCTGACTGTTGTGCTCTGTTACTCTTTTGCTCTTTTGCTGTTTGTTACAGTATATCACTAGAAAGCTAACAGGTTTTACTGGCTTTACATTGTCAAATATTGGCTATAACTTTGCAAAGACAAGGTTAATAAGCGCATCTCACTAGTTTTAATGATCAATGAGCATTGATCAAGTCTAATGGCTACACTATTGAAACGGCGTGAACCTTATCATTTTTTTTCAATGCAATGGCATGCCAATGGGGCTTCCATTATAAATGCAGTACTGTTAATGGATTTTTTTTGTTTGTGTTTTCAGGACATTTCTATGAATATTCATGCAGATATCCTTTTACTTTAATGCAGATTATTTTAACATCTTTAACGGTTTCACCAAGATTTTAATATAATCGGCATGTATGATATATTCTTTACTTGTGTAAAAGCATTTTCGTAAACATCATTACGTGACATTAATCGCAAGCAAATCTATCTCAAGTTGACTCTGCCCACCTTGGCAGTTACTTGAACAACACACTGATTCTGTTTCCCTCTGGTCCAATCAGCTCATGAATAATGCAGCTCTGTCCCTCCCTATCCCCTTTGATGTTATTATTTGTTAAATTAAACATGGAAAATTGGTTGTGGTTGTTTACGGCATCCATATTTAATGAGCTTTCACTGTATGGCCAGCTGGAAGAGAAGCACAGTGAATCTGGGCA